TATCGTACTTAAAGACAAATCACGTTGTCGTCGTCTTCACGGCGACGTTGTCGTTGATAAGATCGGAAATGTTCGTTTCTCTTCTATGAACTGTCCTTGAATTATTTAACGATTAACTCGTCGATTATCTAAACATATATTACGTTTGCCTCTTTTATCTTAGAGGAAACTTTAAAAATAGGAAAATCCCGATTAGTCGTCTTCGTCTCGCATTAAAAATTTCATATACTTGTTGCTTCGATTAATTTTTTTTTATTTATTATTATTATTATTATTATTATTATTATTATTATTATTATTATTATTATTATTATTATTATTATTATTATTAGATATTATTAAGTCTCCGTAATTGCAAATTTCTATTATCTAATATTCTAATCTTTTTCATATTCAGATTTCATGTGTCGATAGTTTTTATTCATTTATTTATATTTTCATTTTTATTTTTTTTTTCCTTTTTTCTTTCAATTATACCACATTTTGAATTCTTCACAATGGCCATCTATTAGATTTATTTACTACCTGTTTACTATCAATTTACTATCAATTTACCTATTTATACTATCAATTTACTATCTATGTAATATTTTAATATTCAAATTTATTCTTTATTTCAAATTTTCTATACTTATCCTAAATATGTTGTCTCAATAGTTTTTATTTATTTATTTATTTTCTACCATTAATTCACGTTTCTCAAAGTTTTCACGAATCTCCAAATGTGTTTTTTTTTTCTAATAACACGATGGAATATATAACACATAAAATGGTCCATTATGGTCGTGTGTGCGTACGTGTGCGCGAGTGTGTTATCCGATCAAAAGATCATTGCTCATAAATTTTCTTTTAAACGATTTCATTGCAATAACTTCGATGTTTATTTGCAAAAGAAAAATCCAACGTCTATACGATAACATCGTCCTTTTCTTTTCCTTTTTTTTTTTTTTTTTTTTTGTTTATGATATTCAACGTTTAACGCTTTCCCGCGTCCTATTTACCAAATGGCACATGGATCGTAACTATGTAAAATGTTCTTTAATTAATCCCTGATTATAAAGAGAAAGAAAGGAGAGAGAGAGAGAGAGAGAAAAAAAGAAAGAGAAAGAGAGAGAGAGAAAAAGAGATAGAAAAGAAAATTTAGCGAGTTGTGGAAGCGAAGAATTACACGATGCGTGCGAACTTTTGTGGGTGTTTTTTTTTTTTTATTTATTTATTTTTTTTTATTTATTTATTTATTTTTTTTTTTTTTTGTACAAGTGTGTGCATTATACATAGATATATACATAAATGTATACATCGATAACGGAGTGGGAGATTGAAATTTTGTTAGATCTGTCAAAAGTTTTTTGCCATTGGTTTTTAATGATCTTTTTATGTAGGAGGAACAGAAAAAGAAGAAAGGCAAAAAGAAAAAAAAATCGGAAAACAAATCTTGATTCAATTGATCTTTAAAAGTATTTTCTTTTCTTTTTTTTTTTTTTTTTTTTTAAGTTTGATAAATTACAGTTTGTAACTTCATA